ATTCAAGTGTTCATTAGTCATGAATATCCGTTACACTTGTTGGGTGTAGCTCTTATAGTTCTATTACCCTTGCAAAAGTTGTAGTGTGGAGCCTACACTCCTTAACACTGCTTATAGTTTTTAATTGCATCCATTTTAACGGTGTAATATACGGTGATGTGAAATGGGATGGAGAATTCCAAGTGCTCTGGGATCTTTTACGTCTACTACGGATTTGTACATGGTACCTCGGTTTACATACACCCGAAAAACAAGAGACACCTCTTCCTTATCTGCCCCGCAGGCCCCAACCCTGACTGTCCTGGCTGGAAACGTCCTGCTGGTTCTTTTTTTTTGGCCCGGTTGGGATTCGAACCCGAGATACAACCTGTTAACTGAGTGTTCTAAGCACACAACCACTTTCCAATTAGAATCCTAGTTCTGCATCGAAACTACTCTTATAGCTCAAATATGCTTATAACTCCGTAATCGAATACCCCAAATTGTCCAAGGTTCTACCCCCCCCCCCCCAAATAAAAACAACCCAAAAACAAAATAAAAATAAAAAATTAAATTGCTCAGAAATTGTAGGAGATATGGAACGTGTCATCATATATAACGAATATTTAAATTATGATAAAATATCTATTAGTAGATGTGCCGACTAGACATAATCCGATTTCACAATCAAAGCTAATATAATAAAACAGTAACCATCCCCAAGGCCGGATTAGAAATCTCTTAACAAAATATGTAGATACAAATGAGACAAAGGCATAACTCCATATATCTTAATATGTGTGTCTCTACGACGCGAGTGACAGTATTTTATTATATTTCTATGTAGATTCACCATCACAAAATGATAATAAAGAGAACAGACGAAATTGTATCATTCAATCACCATGATCAAGACGAATGTATGGTGGTGCTAATAAATTCACACTCCTAACCTACACGCGTCCTTGTTTTAACACTAAAAATACACCATGCCCAGAAATCAGAATCTCTTGAGACGCCGAGAAAATATGTTATTTATAGCAGGAAGTAAGCCATCCCCCATTTATAGACCGCAAATAAAACTTAATTTTCTCACCACAAAACGACTGGCCCGGGACCAAATTGTTCCATTAACACCTCCATTTAAACAAGAATAATATTTCGGCATAAGCGTTATCGTCGGTCTTTCCAGTACAGTAATAAATAGTTATTAGGTCGTACAAATAAAACCAAGAAGAGAATCACAATGACTGCAATTGGTCATTTTATCTAATTCAGTTACTAGTGTTATAATGATGTATTTAGTTCTTTTAAAAAGCCTTTGTCATTTGAAATTTACATCTCCAAAAGTCTGACCAAACCCAATAGTATTTCGAACACGATGCCAAAGTTTAACTTAATTTAACTTTATTTAAATATACATTGGAGTCCTACGTCGGTCGGTAACGAAACTAATGTTTGAGAGAGGGAGAGAAATGGAGTTTAACGTACACTCGACACAAACTAGGTCATTGCAATAATTCGCTTGCGCGTAGGGTCTTTAGCAGTGCGAGGAAACCGGAGGACCCGGCGAAAACACAGGCACAAGCGGGGAATCGAAACCCCGCCAGTTGACTAAATGACAGACCGTATGAAACAGCGCACACGTGCCAACCATTCAGCCATCCAACTAATGTTTGATATAACGTGATTTGATTATTCAATATCCATAGAGGATGTTCAGAGTAGACTGTATCCAAAATTTGAGACAATAACCCATCGTTAAGATATATATATATATATATATATATATATATATATATATATATATATATATATATATATACTTTAGGTTTCAATTTCAATTTGTTTTAGTGGTTTAGTGATTAGCATTGGCGTAGCCAGGTTGTTTTGACTACGATATTTCTGAAAAATTAACAGGTCATCCATGTACTTCTAATTGAACACGTTTATGTCCAAAAAGTTTTTCATTCAGAAACCCAATGTTGCTGCATATTCTAGATAAACAACAATATCACATATCGCATCACACATCATTGGTATAACTCTGCTCGAACATAAAAGTACCATATCGTTATTTCTTTACAAAAGATTTCAGCTAATGATATAATAGAAATATGTTTAGTCTATAGCCCAGATCAATTCAATCTGATTTGGCGTATGTATAACTAGGATAGCAGAAGTCAGTGGTAAATGTACGTAATATAACAGTGCGTGCAGACGATAATTAGCTTCTTAGCTCTCATTTATCACAGCAATGATACACTTGTTAAATAATTTGACAAAAACCTGCAGACATTGATTTGCTCGAAACCTATCAGGGACTGTCTAGGAGAATGGTATATAATTTAATCATTAAACGAAAATGTTCATGAAATTAGTCCTGACAGAAAATAAAATATAACCCCAAGAGTCCCCATCTTTTTAAATATACCAAATATATATCAATACTAGAACAATGCACCATTACAGTCATACTAAATCGTCATGAATATAATACCTGGCCAGTAACAGTGGTTTAAAATTGTTTTAAAACATCCGTCATATACCTGGCCACTAACGGTGATTTAAAACTGTTTTAAAACATCCGCCATTTATCGTTTTCATATAGCGTGCAAGCACCACGTCATAACAAGGCACGTGTTTTCTCTGTTGTTACTGCCGTATTTAAATTGCTATATTTTTACTGATTGGCATACAGACGCACGTGTGTGTGAAATAGCTTTATTTAACGTCCGCTTCCACCGAGGTGATATCGCAGACAAGAGAGACGCACGTTTGCGCTTTCATTTGTTATAGGTCTAATAAACATCAACATACATTATGCAAGAGCTAAATCTGCCTATTGCAGGTCTTTCTTTAGGCCTGAAATGTATTCTAAATTATTAATTAGACATTAATTAACTGACGGATTTCTCCGATATTAAATGGATTAGAACGGTTCAGACATATTTTGATTTAATCTAAATATGGAGGAGCGAGACTTAGCTTTGAACAACCAGTACGGTGGTTGATATTATTGCACACGTCTTGTCAAAACTTCAAAGGCCAATATCTTCGCTCGCAGTAGAGTAATTTGAATGAAATTTTCAAATTATTCATTTTACATGATCTATTTTCGAACTATTATAGCAAGAATGGCCAGTTCTTACATAATGTATCTTTAATCTATCAATTCTGGTCGTTTGAAATAATGTGGCCTAAGTAACTCCAATATTCCTATTAGATACATTTCAGCACTAATGTGTTATTATATTACATACATTACACAACGTTCGCTGTTGTTTTACCATTTACATTTGAATAAATCTAAGTGTATAAAGGCATTCAGTATGTAGCGACGTACGCGTAAATAAAAGAAAGGATAAAACACGTGAAAACCATTTGTGGGTTCCGTAAAAAATGTCTCTCTCAAAATATCTCGCATAGAAATAAATTAGATCTTCTAGAAACAGTAAGCAGGAACTACAGTGTACAGAACGCACACACGTCACTGTCTTGGACAGTTAAACGGGACTGGTTTGGATAGAAATATTTGCTAGATAGAAGTCTATATACAAGAGTTGATTAATTGGTCACATCTGATATCACCAAGCATTTATTGGAGCAAATTTTATTGGTGAATATAATTGAATAGTTTTGAATATTCAATATAGTTGAATACTTGTAATTAAGTGGAGAAGAATGGGTCACAAATATACAACACATAAAAACTTTCAGCACGAAGCAATCAGAATGGAAGACAATAATAAAATACAGTGTTTCCGATTGACCGCTTCCGACCAGCACCCCATCAATAAGCCAATAAATTAGGAATTGATTAGAAGTCGACTTTAATTCATTCTACTCTCTGTGTCTAGTGAGACATCGACAATTACTTTCAGCTAAGAACCGCAGAATAAAAGAACAAAAGCAAAAATGTATGAGGTTGTGGGACGTACGTATCACCACACTACACCACACAAAATGAGCACCATAAATTTGATAGGAGGGAGTCAGTTAATTTCTTCGAGTTTACTGATTGTAGGAAAATCGATGAGGAGAAATGCAGTTAGGAATGCATTTGGGAACGGTATGGTTTATCAGGTTATCTGCCAAACCTAGCTGACATATAAAATAAGAATGTAATAAATTGCTTTACTACCAGTTCACGCATTCCCTCATCTTGACAGTAGATCAGTGATAGACCATGTTCGCCAAATTGGAACACAGTGGCGGGAATTTCTTAACATATAAGAGACTGGGTGGGTCTAAGAAACGTGACAAAAATGTAGTCGATACTGATTACAGTGTTTTTACAGACTGTAATGATATAGAATCCTGTTCCACCATTGAAAGAACCAATAAGTGAATGTACTCCTTATTATATAGGATAGGCCGAATTTATATCAGAATAAAGATAGAGAACACAGTATCACATGTCATTTACTTAAGCAAGTAATAATATACAGATCGATGTTTTAAATGTGGACAATTGCAAATCCATTGACCACCATTCCTTGATGACATTAAATGAACATAATATTTGTCTGTTTCGAGTCACATTCTTTTTAAATGGGGTTAATCGGTTTAGTAGTGGCAGAGAAAGCTCCATGCAAAGGTGACCCGCCATTATGTCTTACAAATCAAAGCGTGAGACATTTGAACTCCTTGGCGAACCCACCTAGAGCACCACGTCACATCCGTGAAAGTTTGGCCTACAGGGTCTATATTTTTAAAAAGAGTAAATTCATTTGTTAATATGTCCATTTACAAACTGACCTACAATGAATTTTTACTGAATCACTATAATATTTAAAATCACCAGCGAGGGACAGATTGGCGATGTTGTGATGTGCCATGGAATGGGATCAATATTGACATACATATAAATAGAGTTTTCACATTATCTAGCTTTAAAATTTGCGATAAAAAGCGCTTGACAGTAAATGGTTACCAAAAAGAGTTATCTTTTCATTGACTTCATCTCGGTTTTTGGCAATTTTCAGGTGATTCGGAAAAATCAAATCAAATATACTTACTGGCGTCTTTGATAGTAAGAGTATGGTTAGCGTCAGATAATTTCAAACGTGGTAATAAACCAGGTATAGCTTCCAGTGGTTGATCAAACTTATACCATATAACCTTGAGTTGCTCAACACTTGGTTCTGGATCACATCTTATAGAGGCATCTTCACCACTTGTAATATTTGTATCTTGGGTGTAAACTGAAATAATTAAAACACAGATATTGTTAGCATTATAGCCCGAGGAGTAGAATGACCCATAGTTAATGCTAATCATCTCTTAATATTTATTAATTTGATCTGTTTTGTCCATTTCTTTAGTGGCTGGGGCAACGGAGCAGAAATCAGAGCTATGTATAATGATTGACACCACAAGCGCGTCACGTAATGACGTGACCTACCCATTCAAGTCTCTGAAAAAAGCCTATTTTCCTTGACACTGGCCTGCAATTGTAACTGACATTTTTCGTCTGTCGCTGATACAAAATCGACGAACAGCCTAATTTCGATCAGAGAACATGTGGCGTTGCTGGTTAGTTGACTTAGCAAGGGTATATTTTTCTGTGTATATTGTTACGATTTAATACAATCGCCTAGAGATTTTAAATGACAATTTCTCCTCTAATACGACGCCCGCTTAGACAGTTATGCGAAGTACGAAGAATAGGTCTGGATCTATCGACTATTTTAATTAGTCGGCAAGAGAACCTGGTAGACCAGAGACAAAAGTCGAATATAATTGGTTGCTATCATAGCAATGGTCGATGAACCTTTAATGCTCGTTACCATTACTTTTGGGATATTGTACATGTGAGGTTCAATGATGACATTCCAAATATTGTAAGGTGCATATTTACTGGGCTTGTTGTTACTGATACAGGTGCTATGTATGCATAATTGAAACCGCGCAGCCATTTTAAATCAGAAGTTAGAAACATTACAAAACCAGTTATAAATATAAAGGTTCAAGCATAGATGAAAGGAGATTGTGGGCTCGAGAGACATTGTTATCCACGCCAAATCGAGGACCAGCTTCTTTAACAGATTCAATCTGGAGCGCGGAACCTAAACAGGTGATAATCAATGATAAGAAAGCCAATACAGAACACAACCAATTTGTTAGTTGGCATGTTTTAGTAATGAAGACCTTTTGTTATCATTAATTGCAATCTCACTATACAACTGATATGAATTAAGATTAGAAATGTGTACATGTATATGATCTCGTCTCCATAATAGTTATAACAATGCAAGGTAGGTATTGTTATTTTTGACCACTGTCCACTAACTGGGGACAATTAATGGCGTCAATTACTTTCCATGACAACGCCCGGAAACAACCGCCATAGAAAATAAGACTATACGCTTACAGTCACATGTATCTAATCTTCCCCCATTTGAAAAGAATCGATATCATTTAGTTAGATAAAATGTTGAAACAGTGGAGACGTAGCGATTACACCGATCTGTGTTCTGAGACCCACAGGTAATCCAAACAATCTATATTTGACATTATTGATTAACTTAATTAAAAAAACCGACCCTAGAACACGCACAGAAATCAGATCGAAATATTCCACAGAGAAAATCACAAGAAATTCTAGTCGACAGATTTTTTTTTTCTTTAGTTTTTGACCTTTCTATCAATTCCATTGTCTTTGATATATAATGCAACAGGTATAACGTCATGAAACATCTTGTAATTAAATAAATGTTTAACGTAATATGTTTTACAGTAACATGATTCATCGAATGCCTGCACTCAGAATTCTGCAAATCAAAGTTTCGGAAATTCAACCAGTTCAATTACAGATCAGATTCTCTCTTACCTCAGTTGCTTTTAAATAAAAATATTAGACAATGTTTTTCAAAATGTCAATAAAAAACAGAAACTGCTAACCTCTATAATATGCACAGTGTGTATATTTTATCGTAAAACTGTCAATATGTATTGTAAACGAATTATAACTTAAGTTCCTTATAAAACAAATTAACTTATTAAACCCTTATCTACTTAATTGATATTAACAAATGAGTCTTATATTAACCAACTTCTGGATACATCATGTGTTTGTTGTACGAGTCTTCCGTTGTAACAACTGATATTGTTCCTATGATAACTTGACCGACTGCTGGAAGCCGTGGCGGAACATACAGGGTTAACGTGACTGATCGTTTTGGTCAATCTGGTAATGTAGCCTGGGGTTAATGGTGGAGATGTATTCTGGTTGTGATTAACGAGCTGAGTTGAAAATAGATTACTGTGACCGGAGCTACAGCTAAATATTTACCTTACTACGGTCTCCAGTCGTCTGGAGAACCTAATTTCATCGGCATTGCGACATTGCTCTATTGACAATCAGTTTCTGGTGCCTTAGCGTTTTTCTTTTGAAAAACTTAACATCTACAACATTGAAATTTACATCAACGACCGTTTCAAGAAACGTTTTCTGCCGATAACACAAATTTAACACAATTTGAACTTTCAAAATTGGAAATGGGGACTTTGCTGGTGGCCTGTAGCTACCCAACATATTCCGAAACCCAAATTCAAACTACAATCAAATAGTAATGTATGGTTACCCTAAAACGCCTTTGAGGACTTGACGTTGCAATTACAACATATATGTTTTTTTTAATTTTGTATTTCATTCTGAATGATTTAATCGAAACGAAACCCATAAGGATTAAGTTACACCCCGTGTGTACTACCTAATCTGTAATTTTCAACTGTTCAGTCGTATTTCCCTCAACTGCTAAATTTTTTTTTACCCTGGCAAAAACAAGTGCATGATTTTGATTCCATCGTCAAAAGGGTTTCTGGTAGATTACATAATGCTGTATTTAAAGATGCATTATGTAAGAGCTAAATCTGCCTATTGTAGGTCTTATTTTGGCTTCAAATGACAAGCCTATAACCAACTTTATAGTCTCGATGGTCAAGTACTGTTGATACGATAATAAACAATCTATGACACAAAGTAATTTGAATGGAATTTTCAATACATTCATTTTTCATCATCTATTTTTGAACTATTAGATGGGATCTTTAAGTTCCAAATTTTTCTTTAGGTTATTTCACTAGAAATTGGAGTATACTTGGCGTGTAGTATATGATATCTATAGACGGTCATACATGTCTACTATCTACTATGCAATAAATAATGGAAGTTAGACTATCAATCTATGTTCATTTGTAGACCTAATCACCTACTACCAAGCAGTAAACAATCAACATCAAGAACCAATAACAAGATTTCTAATCAATTCTCTACATAAAGGTCTTCAAAATATGGCAAAATTACACCCAAAATAATTATTTTGAAGAAATTCAATCTGTGCAAGTTATATTAAGAAACAAACCATGGTATTTAATATTACTACTCTGCACAGATTTCGATACTATTCTTCAAATACTACTATCTGTACAGCCTTTATTTGGACCAGAAGGACGGATTTGTAGGCAATGGCGGGGACACTATACGTTACCTTACCCCGTAAAATTTATATTATGCATGTCGTGTTTCGTGCATTAACATATACCTGTTTTATATGTCAGTTAACCTGAGGTTGGATAATTTCTAATAATCTCTTCGCAAATTTCATTTTAGGGTTTTAAAATGAAACGGAATTACAAATTGTTTATATCTGTATTTGAAGATGTATGATAGTTACAGATAGACTCCAAATCTATGACATTTATCACGTATTATATCCACCCACAATTCTCATTATTTCCAAAGACATTCGAAATTGAATCTATATTTACTTTTCTGAGTGCACCAATAAAGGTAATGAGTCATGTTACTATGAAAATCGTTTCCGTGCGATGCGGACTTAATGTTATCAACCTCACCAGAATTTAACCATTAATAGCCCAGAACGCACACATAAATGAAACCAATTTTAATTTGTTGGCTTTTATATCTTTAACGATAAGGGCTAAAACAAATCTTAAAGGCAATAAGACTGCAGATGAGAAATCAAAAACACAGATTCACCGTCTAATTCGGATTTAATCAGTTTGATTTATGGTTCTCTTCATCAGTAAAATCAGAAAACAAAATACATCGACGGTGTCTTTAAAACATTGCGTACTCATCACCAAGAGATATCACAAGGTCATAAACCTTTCTCTTAATTTTCCAACAGTCGTTGCATAATCATAACAGTCGATAGAACGTTTTTTCTTTAATCGATGTTTCATTAGCATATTCGGCAGTTGGAGAAGATAAGAAGGTAACAAACATTGGTCTATGATTTCGCGTAACTGTTTTCAAATTCGACCTTATCTTGTACACTAATCATTATAAAACACAGCATCGATAAACATCTTAATATACATGTGGAAAACGGAGTTTTTTCTCGAAAGACAAATACGTTGAACGCATTTTGCTATACGAGACAATTTAATAAGATCTCTACATAACCCAATCAAAAACGTATCCTGATATTTGAATAATAGAGAAATGAAATTAAATGGGATTCAACGTCCTACTGCTCTGCTCCGACTGGGTAAATAAGGACGGGCATACGCCATACAGTGTGTTATGAGGTAATTTTGCCCGGGCAGCGGCACTATGACCTACTCTTATATCGAATTCCAACTGCCAGAGAATCTTTACGTGCACGCCAAAGTATACACGGGTCCTCAATTTTCGTCCCATCCAAACGACTAGACAGCTGTCCTTACCAGGCCGTCCATTCTGCACCATTGACAAGGGTAAACCACGCCAGGAAATCCCGATGAACTTTCTAGGCTAATGCAGGGATCGAACACGCGATCTCCAGGCTAGCGAACCAGCGTCCCACCCACTTAGCCATCGTGGCTCCACCGTGAATAATAAAACCCTGTTACAAATGATATATGTTTTCCCCAGCGTCTATTATTTAAATTATTTATATACATTTATCAGTGTTATAGCAGTATAATTGTATTGCAATAATGTGATAAAATATTGACAGACCGTGAAATATTACAGAATGATAATGTCAATACAATACAAAACACCTTCAATAGCTGTTAACAAAATACCGTTATGGCAAAAACAGCAGCCGAAACCACCGCTTTACATGCAGAAACCTGCAAAGTCCCTGCAGTCAGAGGAGAGACATTCTTGTAATATTAAAAGTTTTAGGTTGGGTTTAGAAATTTAAAGAGGTTATGATGCTGTAGGAGATTTCCCATAATCATCTACAGA